TGCGAAGAATGGAGACCATCCCTGCAGGAGTCTGGAGCTGCCCGGGCTCAGTCCCAGCTCCCCGGGTGTGGTCCTCCATTCACAAGCCACGGGCACGTAACCAGGTAGGAGGAAGGTCCTGTGAGGCAGAGGTGGGAGTCAGAGCTGGGTTTGGCGCAGGAGGGGAAGGGGGTCACAAAACAGCCTACAAAATGATTTCGAATGATTTTGAAAGGAGACCCTGCGTGCCCTCTCCCTCCATCCCTCCATCCCTCCATCCCTGCATCCCTGCTTCCTACACGCTCTCTGCGGCTCCCAAGCAGCAAGCACCGCCGGCTCCCGGCGTGGAGCAGGGGCGACACCCCGTGGTCACCGCTCTGTTTCGGGAGACACACACACTTCTTGCGGCCCTTGTACCCCTCCACAGCCCACTCACCCCCAGTTCTCCCTCAGCTGTCCCCAGAGGGCCCTGGTGTCCCTAGGGACCCTGATTCTGGGTGGGGGGATCACTTCTGGGTAATCCAATCTCATTCCGATTCTGTGCTCCCAAACCCTCTCAGCTTTCTCACCTCTTTTTTTCTGCTTGCGTCTGCAGTGGTGTTGCTGAATGAGGACATCATTTATCCCTGTTCTGCATGATCACTCCTTCTCTGGCCGGGGAGGGGAAGGATGTTTGGGACCACCAGGATGTCACTCCTCCTCAGGCTGTGGCTTCACTGTCACATGCTGCCCAGAGAACGCTCTTTTCTTGCCAGTGGTCTCTGACTGGTCCAGTGATGGGATGGGGCTCTGACATCTTGCCCTAGTGCTAGTCAGTGCCAGGGCTCATAGCAACATTGTCCAGTGAATCCCTCTGGTCGTCTTTCTCCCCTATGTGTCAGCACAGCTCTCCTGAATATTGTCTGGCTTTGGCTGGGGCTCATAATGGTTACTTCCCCTCCAGGACACACCACACCTGAGGGCACCTGGCCAAGTCCAGGGGAGGCCTGGGAGCATGCAGAGGTGTCCAGGCTCGGGGGAGGGTGCTATCTGCACGCTGGGATGCAAAACCAAGTACACATCTTCCTCACTAACAGAGTTTTTTGGGGGGCGTGGCAGCCCTTTGCAATAGCCCTGCAGCCTGGCAGAGGGGCAACCTCAATACAGAGTGAGGTACTACTATCTCCCATCTCCTGGTGTTCCCATGGGGCGGTGCTCCCATGGGGCTGTACTCCATCACCTGTGGACTGCTTCTGAGCCAGGCTGGATCTGCCAGTCCCCTCGCAGGCAGCAGGACCACCAGGGTAAATGGTGGCCAATACTTGGACCACTGCCTGCTGTGAAACACAGGAGCCAGAGTTGCCCCTCAAGACCCTGGCAATCTGTTCCTGGCTCCAGGCAAGGTGATACTGGACTGTAACCCGGAGGCTGGGAATGCCCAGTGGGGAGCACAGCACGCACTACATGGCTCTTGGTGGTGGGGGACAAATGTGGGACAACAGACATGTGAGCTGCACACTGTCACTTCAGCAGGGCTTGGGAGGGTGGGGCTGGACAGCTGGCTCTTGCTCCAGCCCTAAATCCCAGATGAGAATCCGGATCCTTTGGTTTGGTGTCTCTGGGATCACCATGGGGATGTTTGCACCTGTTAAGGGAAAGGTTTGCACCAGCACTCAGTTTGCACCAGCATTTAGAGAGATCTGGGGAGAGGTTTGCACCAGCCTGAGGTGAGCAGATTGCACAAGTGTCCAGAGAAAGCTTTGTGCTGCATTTCAGGTATTTGGGAGGTTTGGTACCAAATGCAGCAGAAGATATCCCCCAGCATTTGGAGACAGGCTTGCCCTAGCATTAGGGAGGGTGGTCTGTAGGCAACAGAGGCTTTCATGGGACAGTGTCTCAGAGGTCAGCAGTCTTGAAGGACCAGGTGACATCAAAAAGGAGCCACAGCAACACCTTGTCCATTCCTCCACCACATCCTCCTGCTTCTGCCCAGACCTCGATGCTGTCTCTGTGGAGATATGGCTGGAGCACACTCTGCTGTGGGGCGGTCACTCACTGGGGATCTGTAGCTGTGACAGAGCTGTGAAGCTGGTGCTGCAGTGGTGACAGCACAGCCCTGCAGGACACAGGCCACCTGAGGCTTTTATCCTGCTTGTCGGGGACACCAGCCAGCTGTGTGTCCTGGCAGGGGGTGCTAGGCTGCTGCGGGGAGCGACAGGGTAGGCTGGGGTTAGGAGAACTGTTGTGTCTTGTTCACCAAGTGAAGAGATAGGTGCAAAGGGGTGTTGGATGAGGACCCATGAGGTTCTGCCCTCTCAGTCTGAATCCTGTAGGGTTTGGGGGTATGGCTTTGGTGCTGGCAGTGCGTGCCCCAGTCCCAGGTTCTCAAGCCCGTGCTCTGCATCTGCTTGCTCTTCATCTCCAGCAGACGGAGCAATAGCACAGTGATTTAACACCATCTCGCCATGCGAGGGCTTCCCTGGGCTTCCCTCCAGTGGCAGAGCCCACATCATCACCAATCCATGACATCCCATAATAAGGCACAAAACCACCGTCAGCTCCCCCTTCCTGCAGATGCCCATCCTCTTTCCCAAGGTGATGAGTGCCTCTCCCAGGTGACACAGCTAATTTTAAGGCTTATCAGAGTCTGAAATGCTTGCCGGATTTTCTCTGCGAGTGATCTGGACACCTCTGCTGTGGTTTGTACGCAATGGTATCCCACTGTGACCGTGGGAGTGAGCTCAAATGTCCAAGTCAAGCTTTCAGCAGCAAGCTCCGTGGCCCCACAGATTGAACAGATGCTGCCAGGGCAGTATCCCCCCTCCTAATTCCTTCCCAGATCCTCTTCTAAAATCCCATTCCCCTTCCAGATGCAGCATGGGCACTGTGCAAGGAAAATCCCTCCCAGACTAATGAGTCCCCTTTACTGGCAGACTGGTTCCCATAGGCCATGTGCTGCCAGCAATGGCTGCAGCTTTTCCTGGGAGCTCTGTGGATGTGATCAGCTGGAGCATCCCAGCCATGAGGATGACTCTCCTGGGAAACCTGGGTGTCTCTGAGAGGTTATTTTGCTGCAGACAGCCTGTTTCCAGCATCCGGCTGTCTCCAGTGCTCAGTGCCCTGTTCTTATCATCCAGTGCCTCTGAAGGCGGGGAGCACACTCATCCCAGTGGAGAGGTGTCCCTTTCACTGCAGTGTTTGGAGCGGTTCCATGATCAGCCAGGCACTTTCCTTTCTATCTTCTTTCCTGCAGCACCCCGAGTTTGCTGGGTCCTGGGTGTACATGCTGGCTGCCCACTGTCACTGCTGTGGGACACTTCGGGGACAGGAGGCCAAGCTTGCCTGATGGGACAGTGACCTGAGTCCGGGGTGGGATTTTAAACAATAGGAATCTGTGGGTGCCCAGAATTGCCCACAGAGAAGTCAGAAGTCCTGTAAGCACACCAGACAGAGGATAGCTGGACACAGCTGTTTAATGAATGTATTTCAGTACAGATAGGGAGTTGCAACCCATGCATCCACGGCCGCCTCCTCGCCATGGCTCTGGCCACATCTCGGACCTGGCATCCGAAATATCCCCATTGGCGCTCTGGCCACATCTCGGACCTGGCATCCAAAATATCCCCATTGGCCTGGCATGCCAGGGTGGTAGAGGAAGATGTCGTGGCACTGGTGCGCCTCCTGGTCTTGCAGTGGGAGAGACCCTGGAGAGGGGAACTGTGCCCTGGCTGGGGGAAGGGGGCTGACTGGGATGATGCCCACAGGGCATCGGGGATGGAGGTGAGGGAGTTGCTGTAAGTGCACCCCTGGTCTGTGCACACCCCGGGGCCTCCTGGCTGAGCCACAGCATACCAGGCAAGGAGAGGCTGAGGGCACTGCAGGGAAGGGATTAGAGGGGCAGGAGCAGCTGCTGGGGCTGCCATGGGACCTGGGCATCCCAAACCCTGGCATGTTTGGGGCAAGATTTCTGAGCTTCCTGCTCCTTCATCTGTGGGCTGAGTGCCCATCTAGTTATCTACCTTAGGGCTGCCAACGGGCCCAGTGAATGCCTCATCCCTGCAGCTGACATCTGGGGGGACTCTGGGCTCTGCCTCCTCCTCCTTACCACAAGCACTAATGCTCCCAGCGAGGCAAGGCTGTCCACTTGATGGGGTGGGTAGAGAGCGAGACTGAACAGGGTTGGTATGGGACTGGAATGGCAAGCAAATGAAGAGCATCCCTTGGAACCAGGGGTACAGGAGGGGATTGGGGATGCAGGGGAGTGCTGCTGGCAGGATCAGATGCATAGGGGGATTTCCCTACATCTGACCTTGCCTTCCCATCCCTCTGATGCTTTCTGTTACCAGTGCTTCTTCCTACACCATCGCTGTTGGCATTAAATAGTCGGTTGCCAGCAGGGAAGGGTTGAGCCATGCCAGGGAATGGTCTCCCAGACACATCCACGAGCTACTGGGCTCCAACTCCTGTTGGAGTAGGACAGGGATGTGAGAGACCCTGAAGAGAGTCAGCCACATCCCCTGAGGATCCACCATGCTGATGAGCTGAGACACTGCTTGCCGCAGACCCATGGGTGCTGCCTGTGGCATGCAGGGGCTCAGCCGTGCTGCCCCATGGTGCTGTGGGGGGCTGGGGGCACACGGGTGCGCTGGGTTCTGCTGTCACCCCACAAGCACCCAGGGCAGACCCTGCTCTGCCTGCAGGTCCCTGGGTGCTGTGGGGATCATGGGGGCAGCATGTTCCCTGCCCATGGTGACCCTGGGCACAGGACCCTTCCCCACCGTGGTCCCTGCAGGCCGTGGGGGACACGCCCTGCCCCGCCCTGCTTCCCCCCACCAATCAGAGACCCGAGAGCCGCTCCCGCTCCCTCAGCCAATCAGAGCCCGGCGCCCATCCTCTTCACAGCCAATCTAAGGGGGAGGCGGGGCAGAGGGCAGCACGGCCGCTTCCCCGGCAGCCAATCAGCGCCCGGCTGTGCCCGCGGGGGAGGGCGGGGCAGGTCCCCATGGCGGGCGTGGCACCGCGCCCTCGGGGCGCGGCCGGCTCTAGGCGAGAGGCTGCAGGTGCAGGGCTGCGCTGTTGGGGCGCGCGGCCAGGATGTAGGCGACGTTCTCCCGCAGGAATCCGGGCCAGTCGATGCTCCTGCAGGCAGACGTGGGCTCGTTGGACGCCCTGGCAACACTGCTCTGCCAGGGTCTCCCCGCAAAACGGGGATGTCCACCACCCCCCTAAGCATCCCTGCCTCACCTGGTCTCCTCCTGCTTTGTGGCTGGCAGGATCTTCTCCGGGCTCTTGCCATTCCTGCTGCTAGCAGGGCTGCCCTCTGATATGGGCCCCACATGGCTGATGCTGTGGCGGGAAGGAGGATGCTCTTCATCCCCGCTCCATGCACCCCAAAAGGTGGTGGTGGGGGAAGAGGATGCACAGGGCTGAGGGGCCATGGTGGGGGAGGTGGTGGGCAGGGGGTGCAGCCATCCGTGTGCTGAGCCCCTTTGGTAGGTGTTGGGAGTCCCAGCTGGGATATCACCCCTACACCAGGGTGGGCATCCCCTCACCTGACATTGCAGGACAGCATCTCCTTTTGGTGCTTGCGGAACCAGGTGTGCCGGGCCTGGCGGCACTCACCCTCCCCGATGAAGCCATCGTTGTCCTGGTCCAGGGCCAGGAAAGCTGCCCGTGCCCGCTCTCGCTCCTTGGGTGTCAGCAGCCGCAGAAGGGCATTCTAGGGGGTCAGAGAAGCGAAGGAGTGGAGCACTCATCCCATGGGAGTCTCCCTCCTTATATTCCCAAAGCTGTAGGGGTCTCCATCCTGAGTGCCATGGGAGTCAGCCCCAGGTGCCACAGCCATGGTCGTCAACTGTAAGAGCCAGCTTTGGGTGCCATGACCATGACCGTGGCTCTGGGTGTTGGACCCAGATGCCATTGCCACAGCTGGTGGCCATGGTAGCCAGCCCTAGGTGCTGTGACCATGTGTGACAGCCATGGGAGCAAGCCCTGGATGCCATAACCATACCTGTGGCCGTATCTTCTGCAGCAGCTGGATGGACTCGTGGGAGAGGAAGTCCTGCCACTCAATGTGCCCCTTCTTGTCGGGGTCCAAGGCGTTGAACTGCAGGGCTGCCTGCTCCTCCTTTGCCTCAGGCATGGTCTTCTCGAACTGCTGCTTGTGCACTTGGTGTTTGTAGTGCAGGAAGTCATCTAGGGTCAGGCAGCTCTCTGCAGGGGACAGATTGGCTGTGCTGTGCCCAGGAAGGAGGGGGGGCCCACCTCCCCAGCTGCTTCCCACAGCCATCTGAGACCTGCCGCATGGGGGGTACACACCTGGAATGATCTTGCAGTTCTTCAGGGTCTCCATCAGGCTGTACATCTCTTCCTCTGTCAGCAACAGATTGAGGTTGTCCTGGGGTGGGGGGCAGAGAGGAGCCATGAGGCAAAGACATGGGGTGGAGGGAGCACAACTCAGTATGGCAGCACCGGTATCCCTTGAAAACGTGTGGGTGGGGACTCCCAGAGAGATGTTGTGCAGTGTCACCCAAGGGTGCTGCAGTGGTATGGCTCCACAGCCTTGTTTAACCATTCCAGCCCATGCATCTCATGTGCCCATGGTGTCACATCCCCTACCAAGGTCCTGGGGAACGGGCTGCAGGAGTGGGGAGGTGGCAAAGGGCCACTATCCCCTGTGTCTGGTGACCCCATCAGGTTAAGGTGGGTGGTGGGAACTGGAGAGCAGCATGTCCCCCACTGCCCCAGACCAGGCTGTGAGGTGGGGCCCTGCTCATGTCCATGTGGGGCACAGTTCCCTGGGGAGCACCCAGCACCCAGCAGCAGCCTGGTGTCCCCCAGTGCAGGCACTCACGCAGTAGTAGCAGCTCCAGCCCGTCTCAGTGTGCGCCGTCTCTGTCACCTCCACGGCGCTGTCCTTCTGCAGGTAACCCATGCGGCGCAGGCAGCCGTCGTGATACACCCGGTGGCAGATGCGGCAGGGGAAGAGGCTCTCGGCTGTCCACACCTCGCAGATCTCACACATCTCGTCATTCACTATCTGGGGAGGGACGGGCAGATGCTCAGCAGAGCAGTGTGGGCAGGGGATTGGCTTCTCGATCTAGGCGGTATATTGCAGATAGGGGTGGATGCTGAGGGGCAGAGAGGACTGGAAGATGGGAATGTGTAGGGCTGGAATAGGGAAGAGGTAGTTGTAAGGGACGTGGCTGGTCAAGTTAGAGGAGGGTGGGTGTGTTTGTGGGGATGAATGGGTGGATGGGTCTGGCTATAGGGTCAGTGGGGCTATGGAGTCATAGGTTCTCTGCAGAATGGTATGTGTGGGTGACCGGACTGTAGGGCTATACATTGGCTGGTCTTTAGTGTTGTAAGTTTTGTTGAATAAGGTGTAAGGTTTTCCCACACATTTCCAATTCCAAAGAGATACTTACCTGGGTATGTTATCTGGGTAATGCCCTGAGGTAATTTAGGCTCAGGGCATGGTTGGACACTGGAACAGGTTCCCCAGGGCAGTGGTCACAGTACCAAGCCTGGACAATATTCTCAGGCACATGGTATGATTGTTGGAGTGTCCTGTGCATGGCCAGGAGTTGGACTTCAGTGATCCTTCCAGTTCAGGATATTCTATGTCTTTACAGTGCTATATAAGGCTATAGGTGAGCTGGGGTTTAGCTTGTTGGGTGGGTGGCTGTATGGGTAAGGTTGTGGGTATGGGTGGGTGGGTTGTAGGATTGAGGGCATGGGTGGATAAACTGTTGGGTTGTAGATGGGCAGGGATATAGGGGCTGCAGATATGGAGGGATGGCTTGAGTTGCAGGCTGGTTGACTGTAGGTGAAATAACATGTAGGTCAAATTATCCTCTCTTCCCCAGACCTAGAGCTGCCTGTGTGCAGCGGTAACTTCTCCTTTTCAAGAAACCCCAGGGTACCTCCAGGGCACATCTGAACAGTTGTGCCCCCTTCCCAGTGTGGCACCTCCACCTGCCCAGCCTGGCCAGGGACACCCTACCCGACTGAGCCAGCTCCGTAGGGCTTTGCGAGGCTGTCACTGCCTGGCAGACACTCAGGTGCTTGTACAGTCCTGTACACCTCCAGCCCTGTCCCCATCCCTCCCACCCTGGCTCCGTGGTTCCATCAGCTCACCTGCTCCCTCTGCTCCAGGCTGATGTCCGGGGGCTCATCATCGTGGAGCTCCCTCTTGGGCCGGATGAAGGCTGGTGGCGTGAACCTGTTGGCCCGGTCAAACTCCTCTGGCTCCACGCCCCGGCCATCCCTCAGCCGCTCCCAGGCTGCCTTGCTGGCACTGCTCTCCTCCGGCTGGGAAGGTCCTGCCAACGCCTCCTCGTCTCCCTCCTGCACCTCCTGCTCCAGCGTCCCCTGGCGTGCGGTCCCCGCCTCCGCCCGACGCCGTGTCGATGGCTGCTCCCGCAGCCCATCCTTGAAGGCTGACACGGCCAAGCTGACCTTCTGCACCCTCTCCACCGTCTGCCTCCTGGACATCAGCACCCCCATGGCTCTGCGGTGGGAAGGAAGGTGCTATGTCCCTGACTCCCAAAAGGATGTCCCAGCGGTTTTCCCCCAGCTGCGTGAGGAGCAGCTCAGGGCAGGGAGAAATGGGGTCTTTGTGACAAACTGACACTGGGGTAGTGATAGTGGCTGTGGAGAGATGGATTCCTGGCCATGGAGGGTCTGAGGAGGTGGGAGAGTGGGACAGAAGGCAGGGAGATGGTTTGGGGGTGCCTCCCCACCCTTGCTCTACAGACTCCAGCTTAACAAGAAACAAGAAAGACATCCAGGCCTTTTCCATGCCAGATCAGTAAAACCCAGAGGGACTAGGACCAGCTGTAACCCTTCTCCTTGCGTGCGTCTCCTTTCTGCCGTGAAGACAGCCTCTGTGGCCAGTCAAGAGTGAAAGATGTCCTCCCTGCAGCTGTGCCCAGGACTAGGTCATAGCAGGTCTGGTGCTGACCCCTTACCTTCCTTAAATTCCTCTTCACTCAGCTGCCTTCCTTGCACTCATATGCTTGTGTGTGCGCTGCTGCTGTGATCATTGGGCATCCTGCATCCTGCAAGGACCCATGTGGGGAGGCTGGGCCAGCCGCAGGAAGACGATGAGGGTGCAAGAGGGAAGGGGAGCAATGTACGAGACAGGGGCACATGGGTGCCAAGAAGGATGTTTGGCTTCAGTACCAAGGGAAGATCACCTAAAGATAAAGTGAGGAGGCCAAGAGCAGCAGCAATAACTTGGACTCTGTCCCACTGGGTGTCAGCTGAAGCTGGGGAGAAGCAGAATTTGGCCTCCAGCATTGTGGTGCACAGCACCACCCCACATGGGTCCAAGGGCTTCCCTCTTGCCATGTTGGGGTTGCATTCTGGAAGATGCTGCCCTGGGAAGTGGTGGAATCACCGTCTCAGGAAGCGTTTAAAAACTGCGTAGACATGACACTTAGGGACATGGTTTAGTGGTGGCATTGGCAGTGTTGGGTTAATGGTTGGAGTCGATGATCTTAGAGGTCTTTTCCAGCCTTAATTATTCTCTAATTCTATGCTGCAGCAAAGAGACACTTCCAGCTGATGCCCAGGGACCAGGAGGCAAAGCAGGGAGATTGAAGCAGCATCTCCCGCCCCGCCAGCCTCAGCAGGGAAGTCCCCAGGTAGCGGGATAATTAGCAGCACGCGTGCACACCGCCGGGATCTCACTGCCTGCGGGAGGACTCGACACCGCGGGCACTGCTGTGGCAGGGAGCCTGGTCAGGGTAATTACAGGTACCCCGCAGCAGCAGGGCCGAGCGGAGCGGAGCAGAGCATGCTGGCGGGCGGCAAACACCACTGCGTGCACACGCATGTGATTTCCCAGCCTCTCCCCACCACCGCGGGACCATCTGCCTGCAGATTCCCACGCGCTGAGCCGGGTATGCAACACGTGTGGGCCCCGTCCTGCGCGTGGGGGTCCCAGCAGCGTGCGTGTGTGTGGGCTGGGGTATTTGCACCTGTTGGCCGCAGTGCCTGGCTCGGAGCTGGTGCTGATTCTTCAGCTCCCGGGGCTTTGCAAAGGTGGGAGCGGGGCAGAGCTGGAGGCACGTGTCCAAACCACAGCAACAGCATCTCTGCGGCTGTGCCAGTGGGAAGGAAAACACCTGGGTGTTTCTACCTCCTCGCCGCGCCACCACCCTCTGCCTGGCTGGCTCAGGATCACGTCTGCCGTGGTCAGGATCAGCTCTGCTGCTGGGCAGCATTGCAGCTCTGCCTGCGAGCGAGAGAGTCGGAGAAGTCACAGGGAAATCCACCCAAGATCTGCCTTTGTAGGTCCCTGCACCACCGAGCATTGGCCAGATCCAAGTCTACTCCTGCCCGAGGTCTGGGTAGAAGCGAGGAGGAGAGGGTCCAGAGGGGCTAGGCTCACAGAGAAGAGTGAAAAGAGGTGTGTGGCCTACAGCACGCCGGTCTCCCTGGTACCTACACTGCTGTTCCCTCATCCCAGAATGCTGGCAGCTTCTCCCCACGGTGCTGCTGAGCTCTGGGTGCCCCAACCTCAGCCACTCTGCAGCCGCTCTGGGCAATAGAAGGGTGCCTTTATGCTGTGTTCCCTCCCAAGTCTTGTTTCCCTGGGTGTTCATGTCATAGTTAACCACCTGCACTGCACTGCTGCTGCAAGATCCCATCCCACCTCCCTGTTTCCTGTCCTTTCCCAAGCTACCCTGAGTGCCTTCTGCCACTGTCTACTGTGTGCCTGGAGCCTGGACAGTGTCACTTCTACTATGACTTGTGTCTATTCTCGGCTCTGCTGGCCTCCCTGCCCCTGCTAGTGCTGCACAGCTGGACGTTGCTTGCACATCCAGGGCTGAATGGCTTAATCCTGAACTCAGTCTCCAGACTTTTCTTTCCACAGGCCCCATTGCTCCCCAGACACCCTAAACTTAATTTCCAGATCCCTTTTTGCCTGTGCCCCATGCCCTACCTGACCTGGGTTTGTGGGGTGGGACTTCACCCTCACATAGAACCTGAGATGACTTGGGGTCCTGCCAGACGTCAGGAGTCTCCCTTCTCCTGGAGAGGGAGGACGAGGGGCAGTCTTGCCTCATAGCAGCCCGAGCAGCCCCTGCGTCCCCACATGTCCTTGGGGGGAGGTGTCTCCAGTGCTATTTGTGTCCACCCCCCGAGGCAAACAGAACCACCACCTGTCTCACTGTGACCGAAGAGGTGCGGGGGCCTCGACCTTGCTGCCAGGCTGCACCGTGAGGCTATTTTTAGGTCGCCCCCACAGAGGAGCTAAATCTGGGCACAGGCAGGAGCTGCCTGCAAACACCCGGCTCCAGCGAGCCCTGCCAGCACCGGGGGCTGTCACAGTGGGTGGTGGGAAACTTCTCAAGCCCTTCCCTCCCCTTCTCTTGCCCCCAGCCCCCTGCACCCCTGCCCTGATCCTTGGGCAACACATGTTCCCTTCACTCTTCTCTTTTGGATTTGCTCCTTGCTGCTTCATTCCTGCAGCAAAACACTGAGCCAGAAAGCACTTCATCCTCTTAGTACCCATGGACACATCTTTCCCTCTCTGCGTGGGGGAAACTGAGGCATGGAAGCAAGGCTGGTGCAGCTGGAGTGAGAATTAAGCCTGTGTTAGGTGGGAATAGGGAGAGAGCTGGTGGCTAGCATGGAGGCACCCCGGGAGAAGGAAACAGGGCAGAGCATCCAGATGCAAACAGAGCCAGTGGTCCCTGCATGGCTGCAAAATCTCTGTGCCATGGCAGAGCACACATGACTTGTGCTGGGTTTATGGGGTGCCAGGTTAGGGGTGGGTGCGGAGCAGCGAGTGACACACAGGTGGGCGTAGCACGGCGCAGCTGGGGCGGTGTGGTGGCTGGGAGCACAGGATGGATGTGTCGGGGAGCAGTGCAGGGGGGGTGTGTTTGTTAGGACTGGATGTGTTACGGGGTGGATGAGGTGCGAGGGGTGGCTGTGTTTTGGGGTGGATGTGCTACGGTGAGGCTGGCAGTGCAGGGCGGGTGCTACGGCCCACGGAGGGTGTTGCAGAGGCTGTGGGCAGGGGGTGGGTGGTGGCTTTGGGTGCAGGGATGTTGCAGCAGCTGCAGGAGCGGGGTGGGGTCTGTGGCAGCTGGGGGTGTGGGATGGGTGCTTCTTGGGGCTGTGGGTCCAGGGTGAGCTGTTTGTGGTGTGGCTTGGGGAAATGGGGATGTGGAGCCACACGGTCCGTAGGACTGACTGTTACCTGCTCCACAGTGTGTCCTCAGTGAAAGGCCCTGCCAGCAAATGAAGGGTCAGAGGGTGCTTGGGCTGGAGCACCCTTGAGCAGGGTCCACAGCACCCACTCTCCAGGGGATGCGTCAGGGGTGTGCGTGCAGCTGAACCCCCTCATGTTCCAGGAGCAGGCTCCGTCATTTGGGGGAAAAGATGCACCTGGTCCCCATAGGCTGCCGGGGGCCAGGCCTCCTCCCTGCCCTCACCAGGCTGCTGGGTGTTTTGTCCTGCACTGCTGAGCATTACTTCAAGCAGCATTGGGGACCCTGGGGGCAGAGGGGTGGGGTACCAACAGGGAGGAGAACCCTGGGACCTCAGAGCCCATGGCAGCCTGGTCCCAGGGTTCGGTCCGAAGGGCGTGAAACAGGGCTGGGAGGAGCTGTCATAGCTCTGCCATGGCTCTGGCACAGCTCTGCACACCCTGCCAGTTGCTGCCTGCCTAGGGTGAGTGGGACCAAGCTGCGAAGGCAGCAGGCTCTGCTAAGGGGGCATTGCATTCCAGCGCCTTGAGCTGGCTGCAGGCGGCCACGGGGGTCTGGCAGCATCCCCTTGTCCCCTCTCCTGGACAGATAGCACATGCCAGAACTGTGGCACTGCTGGCACTGCTGCTGCGAGGTGATCCATTTGCCATGGGGCAGGGAGGTCCGTGGCTGATGGTACCCTCCCACCCTCTGCAGGGCTGTGGGAGTCCAGTGGGGATGTGGGGCGGGGGGAGGGCTGTGTCCCAGTCCTGGGGACACCAAGCCGGTGGCTGTTCTCCCTGCCGGATCAGGTTGCCCGTCCTGCCGCGCTATGACAGATTTTATAGGTGTGTCGCACTCTTTCATCTCCCAGAGGGGGATGAAAATGCCGTGACAGCAGAGTCCCTTCCTCTGCAGCAAACACAGCTCCTGCCCAGCTCTGCACTTCTCCTTCTCTTCTCCCTCCCCAGCCCCTCTCCCCAGTACCCACATAAGGACCCCAATACCTGGGCAGGACCCTCTCACTCCATCCTAATCCCTTCTCCCAGGCATCCCATCCCAGGAGCTCTAGTAACCCTTCCTGGCACCAGGATCCTGGGGACACTGAGGGAACCCACCGAAGGGTGACACAATGTGTGGACAGCCCATGCTACGCACCCAGCAAAGCACCCACAATGGCAAAAAAAACCCCCCACTTACCAGGGTGAGGGTCGGTCTGGGAACACGAACCCTAGACAGCAGTCCACACGATGTCCATCGCCGCTGCCTCTGGCCACGAGCCCCTCTCCAGCCGCGGGTGCTCACCGCATGCCGTGCCCCGCGT